AGTTGTTCCTTGAGAAATATGGACATTGGATCAGGTAGCTACAACAACTCAAAAATAAATAAATAAAAATAGATTAATCTAGTTGTTAAAATTTGGCTCTGGCCTGAAATTTGTACAGTTGTTTTGCCGGTTTTGGATATATGCTCATGTTCTTCACCCTCAAATGAAAACCTGGGAGTCAAATTAAAGAAAAGAAAATCCATCAGAAAAAGCATAACAAATGCAAAGAAAACTTGCTAACACCACAAAATAATTATTTATCTTCTTCCAGAAAACCAGTAAAAAGGATCCCCAAAAAAATTGTCATTACCAAAAAATTATAGGGTTAATCACACCAATACCTCCTCAACTATTAAAGAATACCATCAGTTTACCTCCTTTATACCATGTCAACGTTGACATGTAGTATCACCAACCAATAATAAAACTACATATGGGATGGTGAACCCCACTATTCAAATGTAACAACCCATTCCAACATAATTTTGTAACTACTGCATAGCGGGACTGATCATACGTACATGGTAATTTATAAAGTCGGTTATGGCATGCTATCACCATTGTAGTGAATTTTTTTCTTCCAAGAGAGGAATTTACATGGTTTTATAGTTGAGGGGTTAGACTGTACCGGTTCATAGATGGGGGGAGTAAACCGATATTCGTTCGGTTGAGGGAGTCTTAGTGTAGCTAACCCTATTTTATAACCCGAAACAAATTAAGGTCAAATCATCATAAGATGGATCAGCCAAAGAAATCTCCACAACTTAAGTGAAAATTTCTTGAATTGATGCAAACTGGTAGACATACACAAAAGTCACCCAGACTTGACTGAAAAGCAAAAGCAACATTACCTGAATGTGTGAAAAAGCCTGAACAAGTTCACTCAATCCAACATTGAATCAGCACAGTAACTAACTGTATATTGTTCCTAAGAGACAATGGTAGCCTGGTATTCCAGAACCAAATGAGAAAGCCACACTTTCAAGGAAAAAGAATCAGAGAAATAGTTCTTAAAAGGGGTCCAACATACCATGCAACCACCAACTGCTATTGGAACATCTTAGAATATGCTTCTCTCCAGATCTCGTCTATCCGAAATCTGTCCCAATTCCAACAATTCAAACCCCAGTAGCTGATAAGCATTTAATGCCATAAAAAATGTTTCAGATTTTATGCAATCATACTAACCTTCTTCTTTGCAGCAGCCAGCTCCTTTTTTATTCCAGCTGAAAGATGCCAGAAACCAAGTCAGTTATCACGTTTCAAACCTCAATTCTATGAAAATTACGAACTCCAGACTATTAAGTATCTAGTTTAGTACTTGAAAACTGTCATTCAAATTTCAAAATGACTTTCAGTAAGACCTCAGCCATCTCCCAAAATAGATTAATGTTATGGTAGAATACAAAAAACCCATAAAAAATAAAACTTGTAGCCCACAGAGAAGGTAATCATTGCCAAGTTAATTTTTTTTCTTTTTCTATTTAGGATTTCATCAGAGTGAAATTTATAATGTGCTGAAAGTTTTGACAATGCATTATATTTATAAAAAGTTCAAGGTTAGAAACTGTCACAAACCATCATTTGGCTCCAATTCCAATGCCTTCTTGAAACTTTCGATAGCAGCATCTATATCATTAAGTGCCATGTATGCCTGATAGTTCAATACAACGATAATCATAAGGACTACAAATTAGTCAATAGGACAATATGCAATCCACAATGCATACAAAGCCAATTGAGAGGCAAGACAACTCTTGATACTACCTAATACTCACATAATTTAGTAAACACATGAAGTTTGTGACAAATGCAACTAAAAATTTTAGTAAACATTAATAGATTCATGATTAAACATTTAGCACACTTGGGGTGCGAGTGGATGTCCTTTGAAAATTGAATAGTTTATAGCCTATATTCAATTATACATAGAGCTTGAAGGCACATATTATAGCTCAAGTGCAGCTACCAAAGAAAATTGCAGTCAACATAACATCTAATGTTATGCAATAATAATTTTATAAATTTCAATTAAGAAACTAGCTGTAATGATGTAACCATTCAAAGCAATGTTTTGAAAACCAGAATACATCAACAAAGCAACCACATAAATGGGGCAAATTTTATCCAGAAAACCCCTCTTCTCTTAGCAGTTAAATTTACAATTCTTTGATGTTACCAACCTGGCCTTGGCGAAACAAAGCTTTCACATTGTTTTCTCCATCACGCATTGCAAAATCTGTGTCCAACAGTGCTCCCTTTAAATCTCCCAATTTCAATTTACAAGCCTACAGCAATATAGTATATATCAATTCCTTAGACAAATTGAAAACGTCATTATAAATAGGACAACATCAGGCGTAACTTACAAGTTTATATGCATAGAATGGTAGTGAGAGAAAACAAATAAGAACCCTAAAAGATTAAATGAAACATCCCATGAAGAACAAGTTGAGAAGCCAAGTTAAGCATACTGCAGACAGTAGATATAATGATATATGTATGTCTATATAAATGAATATATAATGTAATAAAAAAATTTAAATCCAGCTTAAAATCAATAGTATATTTCAGAAATGTACTAAAGATTGAAATAAAATCTCCCGTTAGCATTCAAGTTTGCTACAAAATTGTTGGTTGTAGTCAGCAACTGGCATATCTAATTAGCCAGATTAATCTATAAGCATAATTAGCCACAGTATACATCCCTAAAATGCTGAATTTGAGTTAATCTCAAGTATATGATGTTAACACAGGGTAATCTTGAATTTAACTACTCATCTTGTAAAGCATCAATGAACAAAGTTTTCCCAAATGGGGCATGCTAATTGATGATCACAATAGTAATTAGAGTGCCCAAGCTAGATGGGCACAGTTCAAAATGGCTGACCTTAATAGACCACCTGATTTACCACTTACACATCAAATAGTGAGTTTTTCAAACACAAGAAGGAATCCACAACAAGGAATCCACAACATATAATGCAAACAAATACGTAATTTTCCAGCATCGATCATTAGTCAGCCTAAGCTTAGTCTCAACTATATGACCTCGTCCCAAGGCAGCCCCATGCCCAATCTCAGACAATATTACCCTATAAGTTTGTTTTATGCACAGTAAAGAATTTTCAGCAAGTTGAGGAGTTTAGCCTCATGACTGAAAATCAAAATATTTGCAGCTTTGAAATTTCATAGCTAGCACAACATTTACCATATACTAAAAGAATACATTTATGCCAGACTAATGTAAGGGATACTCAAAACTAGAACCAAATTTTAATTTGACTCCAGGCCTTTCAAAAAATTAAAGGCTCAGCCGGCCGAAATTTCAAGCTGAATGGGCCAAATCTGGTTTAATCCAGCCCATCAAGCTGTGATAGAAATTAGGAGCTCAGCTTTGCCTATTTTTCTTTGAGTTGATTTGCCCCAGTTTGCACAGCCTCCAATTGATTAACCAAATCACTTTTACACCATTATTGCATATCATAAAAATTCAAACCACAAGGTTAACAAAGCCAAACAACTGGTCATCCAAATAAAGGAAGCCTATTATTCCATTCTCCAATGCGTCTAAATGATGCAGAAGTAAGACTTTACAAGGGCCTCTGGCAGTTCATTTCCAATAATTTCATAGAATTTGCTAAATCGTTAGAGACATTAGATCATGAAGATACTATGCAACATTAAACAAAATAAATTTGCATTAACAAAAACTATGAACCTACACATGTTCACAGATGATGCTGGAATGTGCAGTTCTGTGGTTCCCGCTTGATTCTGAATTCTGATAGATCGATTTTTTCCAATATTTTTCTTTTAGAATTTTTAGCTGAATGATATGCATTGAAATCATGGATCACTTTTAGCAAATAAAGTAGAGGTCATTGCTTGATGCAGTGCTAAAAGCATCTATCGAAATATTACTAATGACATTACGAGATAACTACGGTTAAAGAGCTAAATGCCAAACCATCAAACAGTGAAGTAAAAAACTTACAGAACTGTTGGTAAATATCTGTGCTTTTATCTTCCTTAAACATGAACTTTTTTCTGCAGAATGGGGAAAAAAATTAAAAAGAGAGAATTATGAGCTCAGATGGTATGGAGACATAACGTGAGTTGTTATTGCTAAAAGTTATTGACTATTAAGAAATTTAAGAGATTATGACGAGAGAGAGAGAGAGAGAGAGAGTTGACCTTCATCAATCCCTTCCTTCTCCCAGCAGACATCCAAATAAAGTAAAGCCTTCCTATACTTCCTAAGAGCCATCTTATAGTCTTGCTTCTGCAAATAAACATGAAAAGGGCAAGTAATAAGGAATGCAGGTTTCTCAAATAATAGTAATTACAGGCCACAGAAGCAAATAAGTGAAAAATTCAATTCTCTCTCACTTGAAGACTTTAAATTATAGATTTCTCTGTTATAGAATTTGAAACACCAAATGGTTTACAAAAATAAAATGTAAGGTAAAACATTTCAATATGCAGCTTGCCTTGAAATGTTGATTTCCAAAAGCCTTCACAGAATCTACAGCATTCATCCACCAAGACAGCTCATCGGAATTGTTATCAAGGTCAGACGGCCAGTCAGGATACATATCACCGTCTTTAAAAAAATTAGCTATCCCATCATCTGCCCCCTCAGGAATTTCTCCACAATCCGCAACTATAATATCAACAGTTGGCCAGTCATTTTCACCAGTAGTAACATGATCCATAGACCGAACAACTCCCATGCCTTTAACAACCTTCCCAAATACAACATGTTTCCCATCTAGATGAGAAGTGCGGGTTGTTGTGATGAAGAACTGAGAACCATTTGTGTTAGGCCCAGTATTCGCCATTGATAACATTCCTTTTCTTTCATGTTTCAATTCAAAATTTTCATCTTCAAATTTTTCTCCATAGATGGATTCTCCCCCAGTGCCATCGCCAGCAGAAATATCTCCACCTTGTACCATAAAACTTTTAATAACTCTATGAAAACGAACTCCCTGAAATGTTAAAGAAATATTGTTAGACACCAACTTAAAAAAAGTCCTCCGCAGTTCTCCCAACCCAAACAGGAAAAGTATGGCAGACACAAACATAAAACACTCAGCAAAAGCAAGAATGCAATGTTTTTCTCAATAAGCATAGAGTCTTTGGATGGAAAATGCATAAATTTTACGCAACCATAGAAGAAAGTCTCATAGGCTATACAATTCATTAAGTGAGAGTAAACCACATAAAGATAAAATAGATCTGTCTTGGTAGAAATTATTGAGAGCAAAAGAAACTAAATATTCATCAATGCATGATACCATTGGAAAAAGAAAAACAAAAAAAATAAAGAAATAAAGAAAAAATAAATTGTCATGTATCAGTAAACAATAATTGTTACCAATTTCAAAATGTAATGTTGCACTTATTATTGATCTGAAACATGAACTCTGCTTCCTATATTGAGAGAACCTAGCCATTGGGTTCAGAAATCACAAGAACAACCAGATTATCCTGATTGATCAATTATCTTTTTTCCAAAAGCATAGGAAAAACTGCAAAAAACTTCCCATGATTGGATCTTGCGATCACCACACAAGCAACTCGACCTGAAAGAAATTGAACATCTCACGTGGTTTTTTTTTAAAAGTAGTATTGATTTTTACTGAAAAGGCATTAAGGGAATGCTACTCGTGTACTAGAACAAAATTTCATTCATAACTAGAGGGGAAAAAAGATCTAAAACCAATAATATTGTGAAAACCAATGAACAACAACTGAGAACCACATCAAAAGGATTTCTCAATCCTACCTTTGGGCAATAAAGCGAAGACTGAGTCACATACCCTATGAAAACTTGACTGAGATTAGCGTGTCTTGAAGGATACAAAGAAGTTTAACATGTTTCTGAGCCACTTAAGTTCAATATGTGCAATATTATAGAAAAGTGGAGCAAGAATTTTATCAAAAACATCAAAGACCACAGGAATAAATAAACTTCATATATACCTGGATTTGGATTTGCAATTCAAAATTTTAAATTCTGGGTTTCATGAATTTCCAAATGAGACAGTATCCCAGTTATTGAAAAACCATGAACTTAAAGCATTTAACATGCGTCAGAAAATTAAACCAAATCTGCAAGATGATAAGTCTTGCTAGACAATGGATTCAGATTTACTCCTCAATCCAACTCCACACTCTAATTCCTGTGAATTTAAATGCTATGCAAAAGATTTTGATTACAGTGACAAAGTGACTAACTCCCAAACGACAATGTAAATTCCATATTGTCCATAAATTACAAGGTCGGGTTTTTTACCTGACAGGTTCAATAATGATTCAAAAACCTCAACAATAATAATATGGGAAACAAAAGGTTGATACCTGATACTGCATCTTAAGTGGAGAATAATTTGAATAAAACTCATTATTTCAAATCTGTATTTGAACCCCAGGTAATAAATTCAGCATAATGACATAGAGCCAATAAGTTACTTAGACTTGGATATACTAAAATTTTCTCTCCCACTTTCTAAGTACTACGACTGCTCATATGATTCACCCATAGACCAAAATTCCACCCCTACCCAGCTCAATGCTAAAGCAAATCAGCAAACCCAAACGGAATTTATTACAATTTACACAGAAAACATATGTGCATCTCATATTAAGATCTGCAATCTAAAATGGAGTGCACAAGGCAATTTTAAAACAAGTGGTCAAACATTGACTGAATTAAATCATGATTATTATCATAGCAGTCCATGATTAAAATTCATGCTACAAACAGAGAACTATAAAGATGACTATATATATACATATCTAAAGTGACATGAAAGTCAACAACATGAGTCAATATTTTCATCACAAGGGAGAGAGCTCGGAATGACAATTCTGAACATTTCAGCTGAGACTCAGACGGCTATGCCCTCAAAATCAATGAAATTTTTTTTTTTTTTTTTTTTTAAAAAAAAAAATCCAACAGTTGTGAACATTTCATGCTTCAATTCGAACCCATCATTACAGCTGAAACCCAAAATCAATGAAAAACTACCGCTCTAGCAGATTCATAGAACCAACATCAGAATCCTGACGATAATCATCAAGACCGAAACAAAAATCAGCCTGAAAACAAAAACGCATATTCTGTTTATATACATATAAAATATATATATAGAGAGAGCGAGAGAGAGAGAGAGAGACCTTGTAGTGGAGAGGGACGCCGGTGATGAGGCCAATGCCCTTTTCACCGGAACAGAGAGCCCTAAAGTTCTCGGAGGTTTTGGGGACGACGTCGTTGAATAGCTCCACCACAATCCTACCTTCAAGCTCTCCTCCGATACTTATGTCCAGATAGCACCTAGTCCTCGCCATAGCTCTGTGTGTGCGTGTGTGTGTGTTTAGCTTTCTCTCTCAATAATAAAGGCAGATATAGAGGGGGAGAGAGAGAGATGACTATGGATGACGAACAGATAGAGATGGATAGAAAAATGGAAACACACAAAATGTCAAGAACCCTAAAATGTTTACTATGTCCCGCTGCATTTAATACTATATATATAGATACATAGTGGTATACATACATATGGTTTTGGGAAGTCATGGACTTGGACTGTCCTTCTCTCCCTTTGCCCCCCGCTGTCCTTCTCTCCCTTTGCCCCCCATTATTCAAACTCTTCGCTCTTCTTCACCACCTCTCACTAACATGCGCCGTGTTCACTCTGTACACACCCTCTGCCTATTGGGCTACTTATATTTTTAAGTAATTATTCAGTGATCTTAAAATATAAACACGTAAACACGTGATAATTCATAATAGGGTTCAACTTATCTCATGTTGAGATTAAGAGTGGATCCGTTTAGTTCGGTCCATGTATTTATTTTTAGATCTCGTTTTGATGATTTGAATCATTCAATATATAGAAATGATCTTATCAACGAATAAAAGCAGCACTACAATTTAATCGTTCGTCGAACACACAAAGTGTTTACACTCTTTTTTCAGAAATAAGATGCAGCAAAATGCAGAGATTTAAAGCAGAGAATGGAGTACGAAAATTTGAGTGAAATCCAAATGGGAGGCTAGTCTATTTATAGATGTAAAGGTGGCTCTTGGTTTTGAATTGAAGAGGTATGAAACCTGTTAGTTTCAAATTTAAAGGTTTTGAATTGAAGAGGTATGAAACCAACAAACGGGTTAATAATTCAAACAGATAAAAACGGGAAGGGCTTTGCTTGGATGAGCAATAAATCCAAACCAGTTCAATTCTGAATGATCCAATGGGTCTAGCCCATTTTGCCCATAACCTCTCCCTCTAAAACACTTGGGTACCCCTTGGGGCACACCCCAAGTATCTAACCCAAGCCTTATAAACCCTTTCAAAACTTCCCACCAAATCAATGTGGGACAAACCAATTTACAACCTTAAGGAATTTCCACCAAAACTCCATTTCCATGGAGCACACTTTGGCTTCAATTTCCCATTCACTCGGTAATGGTTTTGAGCAACCAAATATACCACGTGAATCACAACGCGGCATAGAACGCCAATGGGATTTTTCCCATTCCTCTTTTCAGCCTTTCGGTTATCTTCTTCAATTCTTAATCTTACAATCAATTCATCCATAGTCATCTCTTTGCGTTTATGTTTTAAATAATTTTTGAAATCTTCCCAAGCCGGTGGTAACTTTTCCACTAAAGCAGCGACTTGGAATGACTCGCTAACAGCCTCTTTCCACAAAGGTGCTTCAGGACCTGTCATTGCTGCCTTAAAGCTTTGAGGTTCATTTTCTAACAAGTA